GAAGCCTTTTGTATGGCCAAAGCCAGACAGGAGACGGGCAACCAGCAGAGCAACTGGCCCTTCATTTTATAGATGCAAGGCCTGATTCTGACCTCACATGCTGTATAGCCCCACTTCCTTCAACAAGCTGCTCCTCCCGATTACATCTATGTAACCGAGATCAGAATCTGGCCACCAATGAGCAAAGAATTCAAAAGCAATCAAGGAGAAAAGCTATTTAAATCATTATTTGGACCAATGCCTTCCTCCTCCTCTACCCCTTACAATCCTTCACACATACCGTGTCTGGCAAGTTTCCCGAGATCTGCACCACAGCCAAGGAGAGAGAACGCATGCTTCATGTAAATTGAATGAGAATGAGCTGCAACACCTTTCACGCTGTTTGTGGATAAATAAGAGAAAGATCTCCGATAGGGAGCACAAGAAGTCAGCACTCCCACACTCATAACGTACCATGTCAATTGAACCTCTCCCCATGGTGCATTGTTTATTACTAGCTTCCAGTGATGCTGCTAAAGGTTTCAAGGATTTAAGGTTTCTACATGTTCTGCCTCACACTGGCCTTGTTTCACTTCCTATTCTCTAATATTCAGCCCGCCAGCACTTCTCCTTTGGTTGACTTAGCTTGTGTTATTTTGTGTTAAAACGGGTATGTTTTTTTAATGATTATAAATAAATTAAAGCTGCATCTTTAATTAATCAGTGCACTTTATATTGTAAATGGAGATTTTTTGTAATGACTTCTTTATGATTTTAAGATGACATTTTGCACATTTTCCAACTTCTCTTGGGTGCTGTAGCTTTTACTCCTGCATGTCCAACAGGTCCAACTTGTCAAGAGAACATTGATCAATCAGGGATGCTAATCAATCTAATCTAAGGAGATTCATTGGTTTCTGGATACAAAGGAGGAGATGGGGCGTATACTTATACACCTCTACCCCGATATAACATGACCCGATATAACACGAATTCAGATATAAAGCGGTAAAGCAGCGCTCCGGGGTTGGGGGGGGGCGGGCGGGCTGCGCACTCCGGCGTATCAAAGCAAGTTCGATATAACGCAGTTTCACCTATAACACGGTAAGATTTTTTGGCTCCCAAGGACAGTGTTATATCAGGGTAGTGGTGTACTTGAATGATGATGAATTGTAGGGAATAGACAGTATGTTGTACATAATTTAAAAAAATCTTAAATGTTTATTTTTTCAGTTACATAGGTTTTTAAATGGAAATACATATGTCTGGAAGACTAAAACATGCCTAACAGACAGCAGCAGCAGGTAAAGTGTGGAGAAATAGAAGCATTATTAATAGAAATATTTCTACCATAGCAGCTATTAAATGATTGTTTTTAAGGGTTTGGAAGAAGTATCCATATGTTTGTAAGATTATTTTTTTTTCAAATTAAAAAAAAAATACAGTGTGCGTATAAAGAGGTCTAGAGGAGAGATGGAAACATTAATGCTGCTATTTCTTTGCCTGTCTGCTACAAGGGGCTAAGCACCCATTGGTTTAAATGGGGATAAAAGCACTCAGCACCTTGCAGGAGCTTCAAAATTGCCCTAATCAGGAAATGGAGGGAAATTATGAAACATTTTCTGTATTTTGTTGGCATTTTATTTCAATGGAAAATTTAAAACCAGCTCTGAGAACTTCATTACCTTGGACCACCAAGTTCCCACTTCGGCAAAGAACTCAAGCATGTGCTTAAATCCCATTGATCCCTTGCTGAATAAGGATAGACTTCAGTACACGTTTAAGTGCTTTGCTGAATCAGGTCCCAAAGGCCACTGAAGTCAGCAGAAGCCCCACGGCCTGGTCCAGCAGCTGCTATGCATGAGGCCTTCACTGGTAGTTCACAGCAGTGATCAGTCCCTAATGCTGGGCTGAAGACTGCCTGACTGATGCATCTTTTCAGGTACTAGGCAAGCTGTGGCTTTGACATGGAAGAGGCTTGGTTAGTGGTGGTGTTGTCTGTCAATAGGTACAGTATTGCTGTGCACTTATTACTTCCATTGTAGAGAGAAAAAGGCCCCAGGGTTCATTCAAAGGTAAGTGGAATAAAGTGAAAAGTAGCAATTATGCGTGCCAGAAAAACAAAACATAACCAAATGGCGCTTGTGTGAGTAGCTTCCAAGTGCAGCAGCATTAATTTAACATACAGTTGTTTTTACTTGGTCTCTGGTGAAATTCCAAAATTCAATTGACAAGCAGGTGGTTGGGTATCGTAAGACACAGTTATCTATTGTTCGTTTTTTTTTTTTTTAAACTAAGGAATTCTGCCGGTTTCGTGTGGAATGTAAATGAGTCATTAAGGGAAGAACCGGTGCATCCTAGCCATAGAATTATAATGGGGGTGAGGAAAATGACAATACCTAAAGCAAGCAAGGACTGTTAAGTTTGGAGTTCAATATAAATTCTGTCTGCTAGGATGGAATCCAGGCACTCGCTACTTTGTTAGCTTAAGAATTTGGAGCAATTTTTTCCATTTATCTGCATTCCCTCAAAAAAATCATTTTCACACATTTCCACAGATACATCAATCCTTGAGGCATTCCCCTAGACACTCAGTAGGATGTCCTGCTATAAATATAATAAAAGCCTTTTTTTATGTCCATTAACCATGGACATGTATGTTCCAAAAGTTTCATGACACGCAGTCATTTGTGGCTTTTTAATTATAAACAGAAATATCCATCAGTGAAATACGGGAGCGGGCTAACAAATATCTTTATACATTTGAGTTCATTTTGCATACCGTGATCCAATTGGTTGAAAGGCAATGCATCTATGCCCCTCCCTTCCCATCCTGTCACAGATGATATGTGTGTGTGACACAGTAAAAATCCAGTAACATAATGGGTCAGATTCTCAGCTGCTCTAATTCACTAAAGCTCCACTGACATCAATGGCCTTATATGGATTTAGCAAACATCTGTAATGACTGGGAATGCTGTTCTGATCAAATCTTATTTCCAAAATAGGAACACTTATTTTTCCTTTATTTCATAGGCCTGGTTCATTTGATCTCAGAGAGAAAGAAAATAAGGCCCAGTGAATTACTTGACAAATGAAGTCATATTTATTGAATGCGTTTTATTTCAACAACCAAAAAATTCTAACAGCCTAACAATGCACATAAGTTAAAAATTAATTATCACTTAGTGATAACAAAGATAAAGTTGATTTACATGGAAAAAAGAACATTTACAATATGTTAATCCTTATTCACATTGTTGATACCGCAATAAAACACAATTTGTTTTTTGATTTTTTTATTATTTTTTATTTCACAAAAAAGGCGGAAAATTGTGCTTTGTTAAGAGGCACTACAAGAAAAGTTTCTTTTTCCAAATAGATATTATATGATGGATACTGAATAAATAGACATATATGCATTGTAATTCGCAAAGTTCTGGCAAGACCACAGGCTAAAATGCCCACAGATTCACTTAGAACCACTGCAAAATTGGCAGTGAAATTAAAAATAAAAGGCAAGACTCAGCATTGAAAAAATACCTAATAAAATTTTTGGTTGAAGTGTAAAGGATACCAAATGCTGATGCCATCAACAGATGAACAACCTTGCAAGGGCAAAAATCAGTTTCCTTTTACACAGATGGAGTGATTTCAGTAACAGCAAAAGAAGACAGTTTTGAAAGAGTAACTCTTCAAAGAACATAAAGCAGCAACCATTGAACTTCTGATTAAAGCTGCAGCATACTACAGAAATAAAGAATGAGGAGCAAGAAGGGCTTAATTAAGCAAACCACCATCATTTTGCAAAGGTACATAAAATTAATGCAGAGATACTGTTATGTTTCAAAACATTATTTGAAAAAGTCCCTTTAAAAACTCCAGAGGTTACTGAGCAGCTAGAAATAGCTTGTATTGCAACATGTCTTCTCCCTGTATATTGTACGTTCTGAGTCAATATCAACACAGAGGTTTGTTTTTTTGTTTTTACTCCTACTTTTATACCTTTCAAATATATAAATAGTATTAACAGTTATATTACAATGCCTGGTGTGGTAAACAGAAAATAACTTTCAAAGCGATATTGCATGAGGTCTTTGTCAAGGTTACATAAAAGCCCAACACGGACAAAAAGGAAACCCTGCAGACGTGGTTCCGACTGCAGTTTAGAAGGAGTCTGCAATAAGTCCGGCTGCAATAGCAGTGAAGGTGAGGTCTTCTCTTGGAAATCATTACATGGAAGTGAACAGTAATGCTACCTAGTGTTGCTCCCGACAAGATGCCTCAAAACAGTTGGAAACTATAGTAGATTGCAGCTTTAGTGCTCATACCATTGAAGAGTCAGTCAGCATAAGTTCTGCTTTATGTAATGTAATTGCTATGTTAGGTGTCTGGGAAAATGTTTCAATTTATGACAAGAAGGTGACTACACAGATATCGCCGCTCACTCTTATTACCTAGAGCTGCTAGGCTGCAGGAAGATTGAAAAATGTGTTCGCATCAGGGCTGCCATGCACTGAATGTGGGCTACAGCTTGTGAGACCAGTGGCTGAAAGCGCTTAGTACCACTGAAATAATGTGCATGAAACAAAGGAAGCCCAAGTTTAATAGACATAAAAGGGGAAAGGGAAAGGGAAGCCAAGAGTGGGAGACCCCCTTTATCAATCAATTTAACTGGACAGTTTTCTACCCATGTGGGTTTTGACGTTCTAGTTTCCTAACTTGACTTTATGTTGAATCAAAAAATAATAATAAAAACTAAAAGCAACAACAAAAAATAAAAAAGGCATAAATGTATAAATTTTAAGAACTGAAACAGAGAACAAGTAAATAAACTCCACAGTAAAACGTGGTTCATAGTATGAATTCCATACATCAAATCTCAAAATGCTATTTTTTAATCAAGACCTCATTAACGGACAAGTCTTCTATGCACTGAATTTCAGTTTTACTCATTTTGAATTCCATGAAAATTCATCTGTTCACTACAGAAAGGGCAGTCTGAATAATGGAACGTGCTGTATCATTTTAAGTGTGCACTGTGTTTTAAAGTACTTTAACATAGTAGTTGTTTTTAAGGTGCCCTGATTTTTTTTTCCGTTTTCTCTCTTATTTTTTTGGCAGTGTTTATTTATGTCTTTAAATACATACCTCAAAAATTACCCATCAAGTTGCCAGATAGGAAGCCATATAATAACAATAATAAAAAAATCAGGGATAAACATAGAAAATAAATAGGAATTCAAAAATAGTCACCACACCCTGAGAGCAGGCGGCAGTTATCAAAAAGCCAAAGCAACTCATTGTGAAGTGGTTTTAATACATAAACAAGTTTCATCTTTAAAGAACTCATTTCACAGTCTATACTTTCGGATTGTAAAGTTCTGTCCCATGCAATTTTTATTATATATATATATATATGTATATATATATATATACACACACACACACACATATACACACACACACACACACACACAGCTGTAAATTTTCCTTCATTGATTTCATAGGTCTTTTTCTTCCTGTTAACTTGCTAGATGTCCCTTTCATAAGTGCAAGATTAAAACAGGCATAATCCTATGTGATTACAACTATTATCTCAGTCAAACGTAAAAGTGTAACACTCAAGTGTCTGTGTCAAGGCGATGTTTTAATTGGACGATGCTGAATTCATTCAGTTTTCACACGGATCGTGTGCAACAGAAACAACAACAACAAATGCAAAAAGAGGGGAAAAAACAAATTAATAAAAATAAACAGAAAATCCTTGGATCAATGTATTGCTTTCTGTATCATGGGCTCACATTATCTCTGGTCAATTTCTGAAGGAGTTGCCTTGCTTTTGTCAGGATTCTCCTCTTCCGGTTCCACTTTATACATTTCCTCGGAGCCTTCTTCACTGTCATTCTCCTCCGATTCAGTCAGCAGCTCCTCATCTTTGTACTCTGCCACATCAACCACTGTTCCCAAATGCTCTTTTAGCTTCCCGTGGTGCTTTACGTGGTAACGCTGGTTCTGGAAGAATTTGATGATCGTGTGTTTGGGCAGATCCAGCTGAGCGGACAGAGTGTGAATGGCCTCCTGGTCAGGATACAGGCCTACATCATGGATAAAACTTTGAAGGATGCCTAAAGCTTCCAAGGATATCTTGGTACGGGATCTTGGCTTTTTGGCACAACTGTCCTCAGCAGGTGGAGGTGGGGCCTCTTCTCTTGGAGGTGTGTTTTCCTTTGCAGGCTGGGACTGCTGTCTATGCAGGACCTATATAATTAAACATATACACATATTCAATGTACTTTCTGCACAATTCAAAAATGTGGCCAGTCCTCTGGTTAAAAAGGCCAATTGAGATATGCAGCAGTTGGACAGAATTTAGACAAGGTTTTATTTTACCCTTTAGTACACAGATGTACTTGTGAATTTTTATTCTCTATTCCCTTTCTTCTCCACAAAGCACCTGCACCGTAAATGCAGATTCAGAAGGACAAAATATGAAAGGCCAAGTAAAATGGCCAGAGCTAGATATTAAGTCGGGGGTATTGTAGAGCAGTGGACATGGGAGTCAACTGGGATTCAGGATAGCTTGGTTCTATCCCCAGCAGATTAAATTCCACCTCCGCCACGGATGGTCAGTGTGACCTTGGGCAAGTCACTTCACCCCTTTGTATCTCTCTTTCCCCTCTTACTCTTTGTCTTGCTTATTTAGCTAGTAAATTCTTTGGGACAGGGTCTGTCTCTCAGTATGTGTTTGTGCAGTGCCTATCACAAAGGGATCTGATCTTGGTTTACATGCTACCGCATAACAACAATATGATTTGGTTTAAACCCTATGAGAACTGCTTTTAGACAAAGACTTATATAATGAAATTTTTCAGATAGACGTGGCAATATTTTCCTTTTTTAAATGTAGTGAAACTTGTCTTAACCAAGCGATGCTCAGACTGAGGCTCGCAAGCCGCAAGTGATGCTTTAATGGGTCTCCTGCAGCTCTTTGCAGCACATGATATTAAAACACTGATTTCATTACTAACCAGTCTAAGTTATTAACCAATCAGGATGCTTTTACTATGTTATTATTTTATCAACTACAGATGGTTAATAATACTTGGTCAGTCATTTTGCTGTGAGAATTTTATATATATATACAGAGAGAGAGAGAGAGAGAGAGAATGAATGAAACAGTGAATTCACCCTACTTTGGCTCTTTAGGGTAATGATGATCACTAATTTGGCTCCTGAACCACTGAGGTCTGAGTATCACTGTCAATCACTCACTCAAGGGACAGAAAAACTTCAGCTGCTTAAAAAAGATGGCCTTGTAGTGAAGGAGGCATAGGCGCCGATTCCATGGATGCTCCGGGACATGCTCTGCACCCACCGGCAGCCAAGCTCCCCTCCTTTCCCTCCCCCTCCCGAATGTGCCGCATCCCCACTCTTCTGCCTACCTCCCAGCATTTCCCACTGCCAAACAGCACTTAGGACTTTCCAGGAGGGAGGGGGGAGGAGCGGGGATGCGGCACGCTCAGGGGAGGAGGTGGAGAAGAGGTGGGGCAGGGGCGGGGACTTGGGGGAAGGGGTGGAATGGGGGCGGGGCGAGGGTGGTGCAGGGGCGGGGTCAAGCACCCACCGGGAACAGTGGAAGTTGGTGCCTATGGAAGGAGGGGTAGTGTTGTAACCAGAATGGCATTCAGCAATTTTCAAGTGGTCTGTGAAAAAAAAAGTTTGAGAACCACTGGGCTAGGGGATACTTTGGGGAAAGTCTCTGAAGATAAGTAGTTGCCTTGTGAAGGGTGTCCTTTGAACAGTTTTCACTGCACTAGGTCTGTATTAATTTTGTTAACTTAGTAGCCTTGCATTCAAATAATTAATTTTCCTGCATTCTAAGGAAGCCTCTGGACAAACACAGTCTTTGACCCTCTAAAGGGTTTTCACCACTATTATAATATCTACTTTTTGGAGGCAGATTTAAAGAAAGCATCTGTAATTCCTATAGAATCCTAACAGCCATTTATAATTACTCAGAAAGGGCCTTACTCAGCCATTACCTCAGGTGAAACTTCCATTGAATTGTTAGAACTATATCGGAGTTACAGATGCTTTCTTTAAAGCGAAGTCCATAAAGCAGATATTATTGGCACCAAAAAAAACAAAAACAAAAAACCCACCACAGGATTGAAGGCTGCCTTTGTCCAGAGGTTTCTCCAGAATGCAGAGAAATACCGATCAGAACTCAAAGCTACCGAGCTAACAAAATCAATATGGACCTGATATTTCACAAAATAAGAGGAAATCTTGTTTCCGCACTTGAAGTATCCTTCAAGTCTTTGCTTTAAATATTCAAACATCTTGCATGTAAATTATTATTAAAATCAACCCTACATTAAAATGGTTTAGAAGAACTAAAATGATAGAAATTTGTTGAGGGTTCAGACTGAATTTTATATAAAGGTAGCTATTCTCCCCGAGAAAGCCAAGATATAACACATACACACACACTGAGCAGAACCTTGCTAATTCAAACTAATACCGGAAGAGACGGATCCATTGTGGATTGCCAAATTGAGCATACAAGAAAACAAATATTAAGGTATCTGCATCAGAGAGACCTTTATTCATTGTCCATCCATGCCAGAAGAAAGACAGGAGGCCATGGATATGGTTTAATTAGGCTACAACTGTATTCACGTATAATATCTGGGAGTACTTGGAAACAAATTGTACAATGCAGGAAGGAGCGGGTTGGCTCCCTGCTGTTCAAGATGTAGGTGCCCTAAACCCTCTTCTTCAGCCCCCCTTAAAGGGACCAGGAGAAGGAAGTGGGGTCAGCTCCCCATTGACAAGACATAGGAGCCCCAAGCTCCCCTGCTCAACTCCCATAAAGGATGATTTCCTTTCAATCCTTTTCCAATCCATTTTATCGGATAACTGTATCTCTTCCATACTGAGTACCTTCACTGGACAGCCACCACATATACGCATGGAAGAATCAAAAGATTAGGGTTGGAAGAGACCTCAGGAGGTCATCTAGTCCAACCCCCTGCTCAAAGCAGGACCAATTCCCAACTAAATCATCCCAGCCAGGGCTTTGTCAAGCCGGGCCTTAAAAACCTCTAAGGACGGAGATTCCACCACCTCCCTAGGTAACCCATTCCAGTGCCTCGACACCCTCTTAGTGCAAGTGTTTCCTAATATCCAACCTAGACCTCCCCTACTGCAACTAGACCTCCCCCATTGCTCCTTGTTCTGTCATCTGCCTTCAGGTAGTTGAAGGCTGCAATCAAATTCCCCCTCACTCTTCTCTTCTGCAGACTAAACAAGCCCAGTTCCCTCAGCCTCTCCTCGTAAGTCATGTGCCTCAGCCCCCTGATCATTTTCGTTGCCCTCTGCTGGACTCTCTCCAATTTGTCCACATTCTTTCTGTTTTGGGGGGCCCAAAACTGGACGTAATACTCCAGATGTGGCCTCACCAGTGCTGAACAGAGGGGAATAATCACTTCCCTCGATCTGCTGGCAATGCTCCTACTAATGCAGCCCAATATGCCGTGAGCCTTCTTGGCAACAAAGGCACACTGCTGACTCATATCCAGCTTCTTATCCACTGTAATACCCAAGTCCTTTTCTGCAGAACTGCTGCTTAGCCAGTCGGTCCCCAGCCTGTAGCGGTGCATGGGATTCTTCCGTCCTAAATGCAGGACTCTGCACTTGTTCTTGTTGAACCTCATCAGATTTCTTTTGGCCAAATCCTCCAATTTGTCTAGGTCACTCTGGACCCTATCACTATCCTCCAGTGTATCTACTTCTCCCCCCACCCCTCTCAAGCTTAGTGTCATCCGCAAACTTGCTGAGGGTACAATCTATCCTATCATCCAGATCGTTAAAGATGTTGAACAAAACCGGCCCCATGACAGACCCCTGGGGCACTCCACTTGATACCAGCTAGACATCGAGCCATTGATCACTACCTGTTGAGCCCGACAATCTAGCCAGCTTTCTATCCACCTTATAGTCCATTCATCCAATCCATACTTTTTTAACTTGCTGGCAAGAATACTGTGGGAGACCATATCAAAAGCTTTGCTAAAGTCAAGATATATCACGTCCATTGCTTTCCCCATATTCACAGAGCCAGTTATCTCATCATAGAAGGCAATCAGGTTGGTCAGGCATGACTTGCTCTTGCATGTTGCATGTGCATGTTGACTGTTCCTGATCACATTCCTCTCCTCCAAGTGCTTCAAAATGGTTTCCTTGAGGACCTGCTCTATGATTTTTCCAGGGACTGAGGTGAGGCTGACCGGTCTGTAGTTCCCCGGGTTCTCCTTCTTCCCTTTTTTAAAGATGGGCACTATATTTTCCTTTTTCCAGTCATCCGGGACCTCCCCAGATTGCCATGAGTTTTCAAAGATAATGGCCAATGGCGCTGCAATCACATCAGCCAATTCCCTCAGCACACTCGGATGCATTAGATCTGGACCCATGGACTTGTGTATGTCCAGCTTTTCTAAATAGTCCTTAACCTGTCCTTTCACCACTGAGGGCTGCTCACCTCCTCCCTATACTGTGCTGCCCAGGACAGCAGTGTAGGAGCTGACCTGGTCTGTGAAGACCGAGGCAAAAAAAGCATTGAGTACTTCAGCTTTTTCCACATCATCTGTCACTAGGTTGTCTCCCCCCTTCATTAAGGGTCCCACACTTTCCCTGAAAGTTGTAACATTATAATCCCCCTACTGCCAGCTCGATCCAGGTAAAGAGGGTCTTTACAGGGCTACGTGGGGTATAAATATAGCCCACTCTTCCGGTCAGCAGGAAGGGCAACACAGTGTTCTTGTTCTAACCTGGCCTCAACTGCTTCCTGCCCATCCCTGTAAACTTTCCCCCTTCTTCTCACTTGCTGTAAGGGAGACCTAAGGGGCAAGGCTAGCCGGACAAAGACCCACTCTCATAAAGGTTTCAATGGGCACATTTATTTGGCCAAATGCCATATTTTATTTATCATAACTCTTCACACTACACTAATAAATGTCCTGGAACATATTTTGTAAAAGTAATGCAGTCTCAGTAATACGACACCTCACAGAAATGTGCTGCTATTAAACTATTGCTGAAAAGTGAGTTGAGATTGACACTTTCACATTTAGGGAAAGATTATGTTCCCTTTACTCATGTTACTCCATGAGTTGTCCCACTGAAATCAACTGGGCTACTCGACAACTAAGGTACTACTCACTGTGACTCAAGGAGGCAGAATCTGGTGCTCAATT